TAACTCTCTTAACGGTGCTGTGATTGAAGACAAATTTGGTGAAAATCTTTGCAAATAATTAACCATTCCAAGGAGTCGTCGCACCGCTTGCTTGTTTGTATCGGCATCTTCTGGATCGCCTCCACCTTTGCTGGATCAGGCTTCAGTCCCTTTGACGTGATTAAATGACCCATAAAACTCACTTGGTTGCGACGAAACAGCAGCTTCTTTGAATTCAGTTTTATTCCGTTACTTCTGCAGCGCTCAAGCAGACTCACCAGCTTGTTATCATGATCTTGCACTGCTTCTTCATAAGATTCACCAACTCCGCAGACAAGTATGTCATCACAAATTGCTTTAATTCCTTCCAATCCTTCCAGTGCTAAATCTAGATATCGTTGAAACTCTTCTGGAGCTGGAGATATTCCAAACGGCATCTGCTTCCATCTGTAACGGCCCCAAGGCGTTGCGAACGTCGTTAGATAGCTACTTTCTTGATCTAATTGTACATGCCAAAATCCATTCTTTGCATCCACCACGGAAAATACTTTGGACTTTGCCAAGTTGGGTAGAAGATCTGCTATATCTGAAGTCTTCAGCGGGTACAAAGACGTGTTCACAGGTGAAGGCCGATTTGAAGAGAAGCTGCATCTCGAAGTTAATAAAGAAATTCCACCCACTAAAACACCTGTTCGGAAAGTACCAATCGCCCTCAAGAAACCGATTAAAGAAGAGCTAGATCGACTAGTAAAATTGGATGTCGTGACGAAAGTGGAAGTACCAACGGATTGGATCTCGTCCATGGTCGCTGTTCAAAAGAGAGATGGAAGCGTTAGACTATGCATAGATCCAAAGCCATTGAACAAGGCATTGAAGCGAAATCATTATCCACATCCAGACTCTGTACAGACTTTCGGTTGACTTCGGAATGACTCCGGACAAACGTCGGATTTCTCTCGTGCTGATTTCGGAATGACTTCGGATTGATTCCGGAATGACTTCGGACTGACATTACGTTCTCGGTGTTCACTGTCATTAGCTCAAACTTCTGGATTGTTTCAAAACCCAGCAATGGTTTGTAATCCTCATTCACCACCACGAATTCAACTGCATGCTTCATCTCATTTCTAGGGTTGATAGTCATCGTCTTTAACTTTCCCAATACGTTCATCTTAGATTTATTAAACATCACCAACGTCGTTTGTGTCTTTTTCAGGTGCACAAGCTTCGGATCGTTGAAAATATCTCGATACAACTGCAACGGTAGAACATTCACGGTTGCTCCGCTATCCAGCTGGAACTTCACACTCGTCTCATTTAATACCATATGTGCAAAGATTCTCTTGGGAAACTTGTTTTCTGTGACAGACCTATCAGACTTTCTTTGAACTGTTAGAACGTAATCTACGTACTCAGCTCCTTCATCCTCACTCTCAAACAGCTCGCCGACCCCATGAAAGTTTCCTTTCTCCGAGCCTTGTTTACTTCGACATTGCGACGCGAAATGATTTGCCTTGTGGCACTTTAAGCACTTCTTTCCCCACGCTGGACACTCTTCTTTGATCCGCCGATGGGTTTTGCCACAATATTTGCATTTTAATATGCTTGGCTGCTTTTGTTCGGGTTGTTTACGTTCTTGAGTTAATCCCTTCGTTCTGCCTCGTTGATCTCCTTTGTCTTTCTTTCCATCTCTCTTCATGCGAACTGCGTGTATATCTTCGGTTTGCGACATATTTCTCATCTGTTGATTTGTAGTTTCACTCGCCCGACAGATATCAATGCAGTTTCTCAACGTTAAATCTCTTGTTTGAAGTAACTTCTTTCGAAGGCTATTCTCTCGAACTCCCACGACAATTCTATCACGTATAAAATCGTCAGTCAATTGTCCGTAATTACACGATTTAGCCAGAGCTCTTAACGCAACGACATACGCTTCGAACGACTCGCTGGGTTCTTGTACTTGTCGGTTAAAATTGTATCGTTTGTAGATAACATTTGTAGCCCCAACATAAAAGGTTTCAAGTTTTTGCAGGACAATATCTATATCTATTTTCTCGTCTTCGCTCGCCCACTCTAGACCTTCGTATGTTTCAAGCGCTTCAACTCCAATGCAAGTGAGCAACGTTGCTGTTCTTAGTTCCTTCGACTCTTGTCGTAACCGTGTGGCTATCTCATAGTTATTCCACATTCTTCTGAACTTCTTCCAGTTCGAAGCCAAATTTCCTCTTACAATTAATGCAGCTGGCAATGGAATCATATGAATGCCTCTGGCAATTGCTGCTTGCCCTGGTTCTTCGGACGGATTTGTATGTTCTTCAGCCATACTATTCACTCATGAATTTCAAACAACGTGAGTTTCGCTTATAACTCCGACATAACTCCTGACACAGGCCTTAAAATATCTTTTCCAGGGCCGTCTGACAAAATGTCCGGTGACGTTGAGTTTGGGTCGGACATATGTCCGATGACCTTCAGTTCAGTTTTGGTTCGGAAATAAGTCTGAATGACACAAATGAATAAACGGTAAATGTTGTAAAGATATTAAATAATTTGTTTCTTTCATACTTATTTCCAAGCCAAAATTAACTTGCTTGCCAGAACAGCAGTGTTAAAAAAGACTTCGACAACTTAAGCCCGTTTTCCACTTCACCATTTCGCTCGCCGCCCCGCGCTCGACTACGTTAAAACAACATTTCCAGTTCAACTTTTATACAATAGTACTCTGATTTTCCATTTAACATACAAGCCTCTAGTCCTGGGCTAGGGTACATTTTGATTTATACGTCGGACAAAGCTACAGTTCGGTCGGACACCAATACACTCAGGTCGGACAAACAATAAACCTCAGTTTCACTTTGGTCGGACAGAATGTCCGGTGGTTTCCTCTCTACGTCGGACAATTTCACGAAGGGGTCGGACAATGTCCGTGACCGACCGATATTTTAAGGCCTGTCCTGACACCATGTAACGTCTGCTTTAGACTCTAGTTCTATCAATGTATTATCAACTAACCTACAATTACATGGTTGCTCATATATATACATAGCAACCGGAAATGGATATACATATCATTACAATAGCCATTGTAAAGGCATTTCTTCAAATAATGCAGCTGGTTCTCAGATGGCAGATTCGCCTGAAATTAACAATTATGTATGATTATGCACGTGCAAATAGTAGCATTTTTCAGAAAGAATTGGAACAGGCAAAGTTATAAAGATAAAAATGCTGGTGTTTTAAGCAAGAAATGCATGTGTGAATTAAACGTTTTACTATATAAAAATATACAGAAATATATATGGTTGCTCGCATGGAAATCTCATCGATTATAGATATCCAAAAGACCTTTTCGGTAATAACGTCATGTGGTGTTGGCCTGAGAGCCTCGCTCTCATTAATCGTGAGTTGATTAAGTACCACAACTTTATACTTGTACTGAAGTGAGTCTCCCAGGCCAAGTAGCATACATGTCGTTATTATCCAATGGGTCTATTCAATAGTGGAAATACATTTTATATTTCCACGCACCATTGTATCATTCTTTATATTTAAAAAATTCAATAATTCACGAGGAAAATACAAAAGAAATGAATGTTTAATCAATGTTTGTAAATCGGATACAGATTTGTCCTGATTTACATAAACTTCAGCTTTGATTTTCTTGGCTTAGACAATGTTTATTTTTAAAATTACTTCGCAAATGAACTCATAAAATGGGTAATTTTTTAAGTACGATAAAACATTCGCATCCGGTCTGTATCTGATACACAAACTCGAGCCGAAGGGGCAAAGGCGAGAGTTTATATATCAGATACAGATGGGTCCAAAAACCATGACCAGCCGACAATTTAAAAAAATAAAGTAAAAAACAAATTCCGAAAATACAGGACATCTTGAGAATTCAATATATAATTCAAAACAAGACGCAGTTTGAGACTGTAAATTTTCGACTTTATTTCAAAGTCATCTTCAGACAGAATAAAATACAATACTTTACAACACATATATATATACAACGCAGAGAGAGAGCATCTGTCATGTGGGCGGAAAGAAGGATTATCCAAGCGAATCGAAACATGATAAAGAAAATGGTAATAACTGAAAATGGAATATTTAGCTTATTTACAACAATGTTTTATATATTAGAAGGATTGAGGTAGAAAGGGAAAAACCCGACATGTAGAAGAAGATTAAGTTAAAGTGTTATGTGAACAGTTGTAGTTCTTTACTAGCTTTAAGTCCTTTTCTTAACACTGGACTTAAAGCTAGTAAAGAACTACAACTGTTCACATAACACTTTAACTTAATCTTCTTCTACATGTCGGGTTTTCCATTTCTAAATATTCCATTTTCAGTTATTACCATTTTCTTTATCATGTTTCGATTCGCTTGGATAATCCTTCTTTCCGCCCACATGACAGATGCTCTCTCTCT